AGCTTCACTAGGTAAAATTAACAACTACAAGGTCAAAGAAAGTCAAGAAGTTAATTTTAAATAGCTATCAGATAGTCTTTGATTTTTCATTGATGCGATACCTGAATTTGTAACGCCAGCAAAGAGTATACTTCAATATCCAGATTTACACTTGCTTACAATCAATAATAAATGATACCTCGTTGCTTAATAAAAGAAACATTATACTTTCCATCAATGCCACAAATAATATGAATTCATGAGCAATAAGCGAGAAAAGCTATTTGCTTCTTCTTCAGAGGGAAAAAACAGGAGATACACGAGCGAGTAAGGTGAGGAAGGATCAAGCACTAAGTACTATATTAGGTTACAATAACTATTGAAAATAGCTAAATAATGCATAATATCGCATTTGAGATAACAGAAAGTCCACATATAAGGAGAGATCCACTCGAAACATACCCCAACTCGACTTCTGGCGTGTCCTATTAATAAGAAATCGATGCCCTCCACTAAGGGGCCATGCCACTCTAGTATATCTTCTTCTGATCCTCCCTCCGGATAGTATGCGTTTTTGTCGTCGCCAGAGAAAACACCAGGCCAAGAAGCAGGGCTTGCAGCTTCCTGGTTTGCCAATCTGACTCCACTGCTGGGAGCCTCTGTGATTGCAGTTGCCCCAACCACTGGCTGGTCAGCACACTTGTTTAGCCTGGCAACTCGAAAGACGGCTGGACATATTTTGACGCGATATAGAGGAAGAGCAGGGTTAAGTGGGCCATCTAGAGATAAGGAACAAAGTATTAAAACATTAATATGATAGAAACTAAGTATAGAGTGAAAATAAATACTATTTTAAAATGAGAATCCGGACCTATTTAGAGCAGTTGATGGCATAAATAGATACGCTTAAATTTAACGCTTAAGAAGGAAAGTAAATTGCTTAAATGAATTAATCAAACAATTATATTAATACCTCAAGTTCAAGTAAACCATAATCAATAGTTTAGAAGGACGAGAGGACTAATAGTATTCAATAGATAAAAGTGCGTGTGAGGACAGATAAATAATTGATGAAACTATCTTTATAATCTTTATGTTAATAACTTAATTATGTTGATTAGCAGTATATACACAAGTATATAATTAGCTCGATCTGGATTGATTATTTTAATGCATACTTTAGGCATACTTTTTTTATACAAACGCACACAGATGCTGTAGCATATGATCCTAATTTTGTTGATATTCACAATCCATATGGGGATTTTTTCGTTTTGCCCTCACATTTTGTACAATTTTACTGAGCTTGCTTCGTCCTGAATTTGTCACTTTAGTCAGTTTGACGAATATTTACAGAAGAATAAAATAACATAAAGGTGATGAGCTAATAATGTCTCCCATTTTCCTAGATAGCAAAAGAGCTTTCGCTTTAAGAGCATAATAAAAAAGCAATAAAGTAATATGATAACTGTAATTAGTTTGGGCTCTAGACTCAAAGAATTATGTGCTCACAAAAATTCAAAGGATTTAATTATGATTTTTCAATCAATCTAAATGACCATTATTTTTAGTGGAGCCTCTCCTCTGAAGTTGATGATGGATTCAACTTTCCCTAAAAATGATTAGAGGTTTGTAGCAAATTCTAAAGCAAGTCGTACATGTTAAAATGAAGTAAGTTACTGTATAACCAGAATACTCCATTGCAAGAAACAGCATGTGCTTCAAACTAATGAAGGCCTGGGTACATTCAAAGCTGCCTTAGGCTTCAGCCTGTGTAAGAAAGATTTCCACCAAGCAATAAACCAGGTGCTATTATTAGGGAAATGTAAAAGAAATCTTCTAACTCATGTAACGTTGTGAGAAAAATAAATGAACAAAAGGGTGGTTATATATAAAGTAAATCTTAGTGAAAGATAGAGAAATGCAAAAAGGAAACACTACCACAGAAATAGATAAGATTGCTTATGCTCAGTAAACTCTTCTTTTATATCTCTTTATATTCAGCAAATTGTTTAGTATCCTTTAAAAATGATTTTCACTCGCAAACAATATCTGACCGTGTTTATCTCTTCCGTACTTGACAAACCAAATTGTATCCTACCTGGTCTTTAATATAGAAGATCCCGTACCAAAGAAATTCTAATATGCGCCAAAATATATTATAAAGAGCATAAGTTAGAAGCCAAAATAGTAATGGAACTGGAGTAATTTTTCGTCCTCATAGACATATGTCCCTATGCTATAGTTTAGGTGAGTTTACAGATTATGAGCCATTGTAATCTGTCAACATCTAGGCTTCAAAGTTGGTCTAGTTGCTCCCTTATCCATATATTGTAACTTGAGGGTTTCTTGTCACCTAGTATGATTCAGGCTCTAATTTAATTTATCAAGTAAATTGGTTTACCTGTGCCTTTCAAGTTCTGCAAATATGCTTTTTGGTATCGGAAGATAAGGTTTTATCATTGAATTTC